CCCCCCCCCGCCGCGCCCTCTCCCGCTCCTCTGATTTCTACCGTGCGACTCCGCTTCGGTTTCGGTCAGGTTCGGACTGCGATGCAGCCTCTCACTCCCAGCTGCGAATCGAGCAGCACCCTGCCTTTGCCCAACACTTGCAAAGATGGCTTTCCCAACAACTCCTCCCAAACGCCACAGCTGCTGGTCCATGCCAACAGCAGCTCTTCCCTGCTCCACTCTCTCAAGAGAGATGCGCTCGCGGCCATGGGCGAATTTGTCGGAACTTGCGCTTTTCTTTGTCAGTCTTTGCTCCCCCCCCTTTCCCCCGCTCACGCTTGCCAGGATTGCTGATGAAGAAAAGCTGACATTTCCCCAACATCTCGCTTTCGTCATCTTCCCCCGCCCCATCAGTCCTGGCCCTCGGAGGAGCCAAGACTGCACTGTCTGCGCGAGATGCACAGTCGTCAGCTGCTCCCGACAATGCGGTGAGTTGCATGCCTCTGCATGGCCCCCTCCCCCCCTCTGCGTACATCTTCACCGCCCAATCACGTAAATATTGACCGACCACCGCTGGCCCACACCTTCACCACGCGCGCGAGCAGACCATCATGTTCATTTCCGTCAGCTTTGGCTTGGCTCTGCTGGTCACCGTCTGGTCCTTTTACCGCGTCACTGGTTAGTTGCATGCCCCACTGGGCTCCTGCTGCTGGACGCGAGCAAGCCGTTCTTTGTCCACAAAGGCTCGCTTTACTCACTCCATATGCGCATGCGCTCTTCTTGCGCACGCTCCAGGCGGACTCTTCAATCCCGCCGTCACCCTCGCCCTGTGGATCTGTGGCTGCGTGGGAGCTGTGCGAGCAATGATGCTCGCTTTGGCACAGATCCTTGCAGGCATCACCGCAAGTGCGCTAGTGTCCGCTCTGACGCCTGGCGATGTTCGTATGGTGCAGAATGCTCTGGGACTGGGAGTGAGCGTGGTGCAAGGTCTCTTTACCGAAGCGCTGCTTACTGCCGTACTGGTATTTACCGTGCTCATGCTTGCTGCCGGTGAGTTTTGAGTGCTCCGTTTGTCTCTCTCTTTCTCTCCCCAAATCACAGCCCGACGAATGATCAGACCTACCCAAACCTTTTCCCCCATTCCCATGCTCCATCGACTGCGAAAGAGAAACATCGATCGACGCATCTAGCGCCGCTAGGTGTAGGTCTGTCCGTCTTTGTGTGCCACCTATTCGGGATCTCTCAGACGGGCTGCGGCATCAATCCAGCTAGATCTTTTGGTCCCTCGGTCGTCTCTCGACAGTTTGAAGGGTATCATTGGATCTATTGGATAGGACCGATACTGGGCAGCCTTTTTGCCGCCGTCTTCTACAAGATCTTGCACGCTGTGGATTATCAAGTGAGTCGGTCGTGTTCGGGCCCGCAAACAAAGCCGATTCCGAGAATCCTAAACTCTCGAAGCTCCAAGCTGATCGGGTTGGTTCCCCGCTCGCTCCGAAGCTCATTGTTGCAGGTCAAGATGCCGATTCGGTCGATCCCACTACAGCACCGCCCAAAGACCTGTTCAGCAAGGTGTACAAGCAAGCTCTGCAGTGGAATGGCAACCTCATCTTCTACCTCGACACGAAAGCAGCAGCCGAAGCGTGCACGAAGCAGCAAGCTCTTCGCGAAGCTTCGAGCGCAGGAATGCAAGCTCCAACTTCTGTTCAGGTGTACAATCCCTGCGATACGGCCCAGACCGAAGCTGTACAGTCTGGTCAAGCTGTTGTTCTCAACATCAACGATTATCCTCGTTCGCTGCTAGCCGCACCCAACTTTTCGACCCTTTCGCTGGGATTACCCTTGGCTCCCATGACCAACGGGACGCACCGGAGCGCCGCGACGCAACGTTCCTTCTTCCATCGTCTGGCGAATCAAGAAGAGGTCAGAGCTCTGATGCTTCAGCAACAGCAACAGCAACAACAACAGCAAGATGTTGCGCTTGCTGCTACCGTCGCCACCTCCGATGGCGCCCTTGGGATGCAGACGGGTGCGCTCGGAACGATGAGTGCTTGCATGCAGGATGTCGGAGCTATCGCGCCTCCTGGATCTACCCATCGATCTTGATCTTGCCAGCCAGCCAGCCAGCTCGCAAGAGCGGCCCAGTGCCCCCCCACTTTTCGTCGCGCAAAGTCCACCCGCGCCGCTCATCTGGGTTTGCCATGTCCGTTTCATCGCATCACCGCACTCTTTGCTATCCGTCGATGGGGCGCCCCTTTTTTGGAAGCCTTGCCGCAGCGCGTCAGGCCCCCCTCCCCGCGCTCATGACCAATTGTAGTAGCAAATCGAATCTATTGCACTGCTACCCTGAGCATCTCGTCCACCGCTGCACCAGCCCGAAGCGCAACGAGGCAAAAGTCAGCCAAAAGTCTGCACGAAGCCGTACAGCTATTGAGCGCTTCACACATCTTGCCTCCGGCGCGCACGCGCGCACGCGCGCCCGCACCTTCGATCCCTACTCACTCAAAATCTTTTCCCTCAACTTGCCCAGCTCTTGACCCCTTTTCAATTCTTCCCGATCTATCCTCTGCCACCCTTTCCAGTCCACAAAGGGTCTACTACTTTCTCTCAGCTCCTTTGGCAAGTCTGGAGCTTGTTGGCCGGGTGCAGCGAGCAGCAAGTCGGGCGATGTAGCGTCGGAGTGGGCAGAAGAGAGCTGTTGAGCCCAATCGGAAAGGATCAGATCCGCTACGCTGTTGGCGTCGTACATTGTAGAAGCTATCACCCCCACAGGTCCTCGAGCCAGCCAGCCCGATACGTATAGACCCGGGACGATCTGTGAAGAGGGGGGGGGAAAAAGTCGTCCGATGCGGGGAGAGGGAGGCGGGGAAATTGGTCAGCGCGTGCGAACCTCGTCTTGTTCCTGTACTTGCGCCTGCCTGCCCCGAGCCTGGCTCACCTTGCTGCTGCCATCCACAGCAGGGCGCACAACCCGACCGCCTTCATTTGGTACTACACCCTTCCTAGAGTCCCAAGGGATGATGGAGGAGCTTCGTTCTGCATCATCATCTCCCTCAGACTTGCCTTTGCGCAGCAACGGAGCTCCCAAGTACCCAACACTAGTGACGACAAAGTCTGTGCTGATGTCTTTGGATACTTCTTTTTGCCCATCCCCAACGCTGAAGCGAATGCTGCCAACCCTATCCTCCGCCTCCAACCTAGCCTCGAAGCTTTTCGGAGTGTGCCAAAAGTTCAAGGCCCACTGCGAAACGGCTTGCGTTGATGCAGAGTGCGGATCGTAATGTGTTGGTGGTAAGGCCATATGAGGAGCCTGTTGCTGCTGCTCATTCTTTGCCACCTTGAAGCTCTTCTTCTTGCTCGTTCGACTCTTGCTAGCCTCATCCGCCCAAAGCAACTCCAACATTCTCTTTTTCGCTCTGTACTCTGGACTCGAGCTCCTCTGCAACGCTTGAAGTCCCTCTAGACCTCTCAGCTTATCCTTCTCCCTCACCCCCTCAAACCTGACATGCGCAGTCTCGGCATTGCTCCAAAGCGTCATCATTTCCCTCAATTCCTTTGTGGTGCATGCCAACTGAGCTGGACCTCTGCGCGCAAAAATGTCCACCTTTCTCACGCGACTCGAACTAAGATGAGCAAGGACGGGTTCGGGAATGTCCGACTTGCGCAAGGGTGTCAGTTCTTTGCCCGGGTTGGAATGCGCATCGATGGTCGGATCGCTGGTCTTTTCGGAAGATCCGGCAATGCCCAGAGCGGTGGGAGCGCGAAGTACGATCCTAGCCACATCCAACGCCACATTTCCAGCTCCGATGATGGACAACTTTTGCACACCCGTCAAATCCATGTGTTTGGCGCCGCCGCCGCCGCCTAGCGAGACATCGTGCGCAGCAGGGTGTCCATTGTACCAGTGCACAAAGTCCAAGCTGGAATGAACATTGCGCAGACCTCCTCTTCCGAAAATGTCCGGAGAGCCTGGGATGCCTAGCGAGCGACTACGCGTAGAGCCGTAGGCTAGCAAGAGGGAGTTGTAGTGAGGCAAGATGGACTCGATGGGTAAGTGGATGGCTGAAGGGTAACTCTCCAGCGCGTCCGCTTCGGATGAGAGGACCGCATCTCTGCTGCTGCTGCTGCTGCTGCTGCTGATGCTGCTGCTGCGAGGATTTGCTCCTCCTTGCGAGACGATGTTGACGTTTCCATAAAAATTGAAGCGCGGATCTTTGGCCACCTCTGCAAAGCGATGCTCCACATTCTTCCAGACAGGCAAGCGGGCAGGCAAGCGGGCAGGCAGGCAGGTAAGACAGGAAATGGGTAAGAGCGCGTATGGAAGGTAAGAGGCAGCAGCTGCGAACTGCTGGAGCACACCCATCAAGGAAGCAAGAGCAAAGATGCACCCCTATCTGCACAGTCTCTTTACTGAGCCCCTCTCGCTCGCGACTGGCGACTCACCTTGACATCAGGATGATCAGGCGCGACGCCCCACCTGACAAGTCCATGAGGCACGGGCAGCCTCTCGTACATGTCCACCTGCACATTGCCAAATTCAGAAGACAAGATTCTCGCAGCGGCGTAAAAGGCGGAAGGTCCGGATCCGACGATGGCTAGACGCATGGTGCGTCTCTCTGATGAGGAAGATGATGAAGAGGAGGATGCGAATGAAAAGGTACGACGAGAGCGTTGGCACGGCGTCCATGCGCTCGGCGACCGTTGCATCAGTCGCAATCGCAATCGCAATCGCAATGGCAGCGGATTGGAGCGCATGTCTTGGAAAAATGGTCGATTTAAGCAACCTTGCTTCAACTTGCACGCCTCAACTGCAGCTGCGATTGCAACTCGGAAACTCGGAACCTCGGAACCTCGTCGGACTGAATGCCTTTCCAACCGCTTTGTGCCTCTCGAAGCCGCCTCTCTTCTCTTCTCTTCTCTTCTCTTCTCGCTTCTGCGCTTCCCCTATGCCTGTACGCTTGCCTCGCCTCGCGCTTTCCCGTAAATGCTTTCAATGCCTTTAAGCTAAGCCTGTTTGATGAAAATATCCCCTTCTTCCTTTCTTGCCTGCAGCGTGTTGGATGTGGCCATGAGCATACTTGCAGGCCTGCTTCAGTCTCTTACATTTCACACGACTCACGAGTTTTGAGTTTGAGTTTTGCGGCGAGTCGCGAGTCACGAGTCACGAGTGCATGCCAATTTCGATTTCTTGGGCCTCGTATGGATCACGTGATGCTCTATTCGGCTTCCATCGGCCGAAGCGCGACCGCGACCGCGACCACTCGCGCGCGAAGCAAGTAGAAGCGTGTGGAGACGTCTAGCAGCAGCAAGCAGCAGCGTGCCGTGGGATGCGAAGGCGGGCGGACGGAGGTGCGACTTGATTTTTGATTATTGGGGGGCAGCTTGAACATTCTGTACGCACACCATCCCAATCAGGCATTGAGCATACACATACACGCTCACGCTCACACACACACACACACACACGCCCGCATACAGCGCACTGAGCAAGCATGTCCGCAGCAGAGCTCAAAGCGCAAGGCAATGCCGCCTTTGCCAAGAAGGATTACGCAGCAGCCATCCAGCACTACACTTCCGCCATCGACGTCTCACCCGCGGACAGCGTTCACATTCTCTATTCCAATCGCAGCGCATGTCATTCGGGCTTGAGGCAGTGGGACAAGGCGCTGCAGGATGCTGAAGCTACGATCAAGGCTGATCCTTCCTTTGCCAAAGGTTATCTGCGCAAAGGTGGAGCGCTGCACGGTGCCGAGCTGTACGATGAGAGCATCCATGCGTATGAAGAGGGTCTGCAGATCAACCCGCAAGATGCTGCGCTTCAGCGAGGCTTGGAGGATGTCAAGAGAGCAAAGGGTGAGCCCATGCCGTGCCCATGCCGTGACACGCTCAACACCTGCATACACTCGCACTCGCACTCGCACTCACACCCTCCCCTTTTTCATGCGCTATTCTCTCTTTTCCCACACGCGCTGCCGCCCCACCCCCAGATTCATCTCGGGGAGATCCGGGTGCAGGACTGGACAATATGTTCAAGGATCCCAAATTGTTCGAGAAGCTGGAAGCGAACGAGAGCACCAAGCGCATGCTCGCTGATCCTTCCTTTGTGTCCAAGCTGAAAGAGATGCAATCCGGCAGGGGTAGTCCTCAAGATGCCTTTAGCGATTCTCGCATGGTGGAAGTGATGGGCGTCTTGATGGGCATTGATCTCAAAGCTTTTCAAAGACCCGAAGGTTCCAACGAAGGCCCCGAGGAGCTTCAACGTCGACGCGATAGGGAAGAAGCTGAGCAGGAGGCTCAAAGGGAGAACGAGAAGCGCAGAGCGACAAAGGCTGCGCAGGATAAGAAGATTGCTGAAGAGGAAGCCGCTGCTGCGCCTATCGACAGCGAGCAAGCCAAGGCGAAAAAGGCGGCAGATGAGGCCAAGGCTAGGGGATCGGCATTGTACCTCAAGAGGCAATTTGACGACGCCATTGCCGAGTTTAAGCAGGCTTGGGAACTCCACAAGGATGTCAGCTACTTGACCAACCTTGCTGCCTGTCAGTACGAAAAGGCCAGCTACGACGAGGCCATCGCGACGTGTCAAGAAGCCATCGAGGCATCTAGAGAGTACAAGACGGATTACAAGCTCATTGCCAAAGCATACACCCGAATCGGCAATTCTTACCTCAAAAAGGAAGACTTGCAGAATGCCATCAAATTCTTCGAAAAGAGCTTGACGGAACATAGGACGGCGGATACGCTCGCTAAGCTGCAATCTACGGAGAAGCTGCTAAAGGAAAAGGAGAAGCAAGCGTACATCGACCCGTCCAAGGCAGAGGAGGAACGCGCGCGGGGCAACGAGCTGTTCAAGAAGGGAGACTTTGCCGGATCCGTTGCTGCTTACGTGAGTTGGAGGTGGAGAGGCGCCTTTCTTTTTCCCTCTTCACTTGACCGCCCCGAGTCGACGCCTTGCACGGCTGACCCTCACATAACCTTGTGGCGCTCTCCCTTCTCAGACCGAGTCGATCAAGCGAAACCCCTCGGATTCGCGCGGGTACACCAACAGAGCCTCTTCTTACCTTCGCTTGATGGCCTTTCCGGAAGCTCTCAAGGACGGCGACAGCGCGCTATCTCTCGAGCCCAACTCCGTCAAGGCGCACTTGCGCAAAGCGTCGGCTCAACTGGGCATGAAGCAGTACAACAAGGCGCTTGAAGAGGTTTCCAAAGCATCGGAATTTGATCAGGGAGAGGGAGGGGCAAGAAAACATGAGAGGGAGATCAATGAGCTGGAGAGCAAGATCAGCAGAGCTATATATGAGCAGAGAGCTAATGAGACGGAAGAGGAGACGTTGGCTAGAGCGCAAAACGACCCGGAGGTGCAGAGCATCTTGCAGGATCCCGTGATGAGATCGGTGCTTGATCAAGCTCAAAGCAACGTGAGTTTTCGGGGGCGAGGCGCGCATAAGCTCCACAGAGCGACCTACGCGAACTGGAGCTGACGTTTCGAGTGCGTACGTGCCCACACCCCCCTACTCTCCGCCTCGAACTTTACGTTTCGCAGCCGGCCGCTCTGCAAGAACACATGCGCAATCCCAACATTGCGAGGAAAATTCAGACGCTGGTCAATGCTGGTATCATCAAGATGGGCCGTCGTTGAGCGGGGGCGTCGGGCGCTGCGCACGCCAGGATCCTGTTTCGATGCGTGTCTGCGACGGAGCGGTGAGAGTCGATGAAGAGGGTGCCGTGTATGTGATAGCCGTCGAGGGGAGGTGTTTGATTCGAGCAGAGATGGATTAGCGATAGCGATAGGCGCTGGCTGTGGTATCGAAAAGCAGGGCACATCAGGGCTGGGTGGTGATTCGCCCCCCCTTTTCCTCCTTGCTCAACGCACACTGCTCGTCGTCTTTGCACTCGCGCGCGCGCAAAAGTACACACTTCGAACTTGGACTACGCGCAATCTCATCACCGTCACACACACTTTACCCCACGCTTTCGCTTTGCCCTATCCCTTCCCCGTGATTTCTCCCCCCCCATCCTGCTAGATTTGTGGCGCTCAGCTCGGCGCCCATGCTTCCGAAGACCCAAGACCCAGAACCAAAAGTGCGCCTGCGCCTGCGCCTGCGCGCAGAGGGCGTTTTGAGAATACTTGGCGCGCTCTATCAATGTCATCATGTCTTGACCTCCCAACGCTCGTGGCCTGGCATCCTTCGTGGACGTATGCGAGACGTGTGTAAGGGGGGGGGGACGTGAGAAGAGAGCGAGGCGCATCGAGCAACTTGGATTTGTAATTCTTTGCAAAGATGAAAGGGGTCGCGGGAGAAATGCATTGGTTTTCGTTTTGCCCTCCCGAGTCCGAGTCCGAGTCCGAGTCCGAGGTTCAAATCAAAATCAGATAGATCAATCAGGTCAAATCGATGATATCGACGGCAGGTGCGCGTCGAGGTGCGCTCGGTGCGCTCGGTGTCGGTGTCGGTGTCGGTGTCGGTGCCGAAGTGGTCCTTTCCAACATCCTCCTTCTTCCCAACGATAACGATGCCACCTCAACACCCTCCACCTTTCTCATCCTCGTCCAACTTTCTTGCCCATCATCCCCTCCCCCTCCCCCTCGCCCTCCCCCTGGCCCTGGCCCTCGCTCGGCTGCTATTGCCTCGCACCCTCTGCTGCTGCTGCGCACACCCTCGACGGTATCGGAAAAGCAAGAAGCATTGGTGAGCTCGTCTAGCGCTGGTAAGAGCGAGAGCGCCATTGATCTGTCCTTGGTTGCGCGAGCGGATCCATTTGCGCGCGAAGCATGCACATCCAGCCCGCTCAGTTCGCACGAGACGGAATTCGAGCGATGAGGACGCTCTGGGCGCGAGGAGCGTAGTTGATCGGACATGGCGGTCGACGAGCACGAGGGCAAAGGGAGGGACAGAGGGAAAGGGTCCATTTCTCTGCTTGACCGAAATTGCGGCTTGGGTCTCGGTCGCGCACTCTGCATGGCGTCCATCTGCATATGGACAGCCTCTTCTGCCGAGAGCGCGCCTTGCAGCGCTGCGGTAGCGGCAGGATCATCGACGCCTTCTGACGTCCAAGTGCCTTGCCAATGGCCGCCACCTTGCCCATCCGCGACCGTAGCTAGGCGGTCAGCTGCGACGCTCGTACCGCTACGCGCGCTTCCAGATTTGCCAGACTTGCCGGCTTTGGCGTGTGCTAGCCGATCCAGCCTGTCTAACAGTCCTGCATTGTCCATGCTGCCCGTGTCCAAGCGTACATCACAAGTCCCCTCCGCCGCGCTTCCCTTCTTCCTCCTTTTGCCCGCTCTAGCCTTCTCAAGAAGAGCAGCCTGAGTCTTCTGAGCTTTCGACGCGTCTTTTCGCATCTGGGCCAGCTTGGCGATAGCTAGCTCTTTCCGCCTAAACGTGCTCTTCACCACTTCGCTCCACAACGTCTCCCGCGATGTTTGGCCAGAATCGCGAGTATGCCCTTCGCTCGCAGAGCCCCGACCTAGTGCTTTGGAGCAGGTTGGGCATCTTCCATGAGTGGGCAACAAAAATGCCCCCTCCACCTCCAACCCTCGCGCCTCTTCGTCGTTGTCGCGCCAGCTCGATTGGCTCTCTGCAACTCTCCTTAACCAATCTTGCGCAAGACAAGGCAGGTGAAAGACCGAATCGCAGTGCTCCGAACGTGCTGGCCTCGCGAGTGTGCTTCTTTTGCTCAGAGCCGACCAGTGTGGACTGATGGGTCGGATCTCTGTCATCGGTGCCGGACATAGAGCATAAGAGAGGTGATCCTGACGTGCGCGCAGGACCAGACTGCGTCAGTTTTGGAGAGTGGATGACACGTAGATGCCTGTCACCACTTGCCGACATGCTCCATTGTGGACGCAGGATGCCGAGGTCCCCAGCAAGATCTGGCTCACGATTCGCCTCGCACACTCACTCTCAGATCTACCGGATCTCTGCACAAGGAGCAGGTCACAGAAGACGCGTCGACGATGGCTGCCCTCATGGCATCTTCCTCTCGACCCTCGGCGTACATCTGCAGCGACGAGCCGGTCCCTCGAAGCAGATGCTGCAGCCGCTCATATGCTATCTCGGAGAGGTCGTCTGTTGCGCGGTGAAGCAAGAGTGAGGCTGGGTAGCAGATAAGCACGTCCGAGTCTCTAGCAAACCCACCATCGTTACATCTAAACGGAAGTTGTTGTGTTGCACTGCATGGCAATGCCCATGCCGATGCTGACGGCTCGCCAGCTTGTTCGGAACCTTGCGATTCTTCTGAGAAGCTCGCGACTGGCGCAATCTCTGGGAGAGGAGGCTGACGAGGAGCACAGTGAATGTCCCTCCACGTAAGACGAACAGCCCTTGCGTTTGCGCTCCGTGGAAGTGCGCGGGTCCAGTGACCGGGCAAACGGGCGAATCCCGGCAGATCCTGATTCCATTCATCGGCTGCGCCGAATGACGCAGCCTTCGATTTGCCTTTGTCCTTGTCCCTTACCGTAGCTGTTGGCTCGAAGACTGCTCGTTGTGGGCCTAGAGCGTCCGAGATGCTCCTGCCTTCGTCGGAGCCTTCTGGCAGCTTGAGCGCTTTGCGGGCATGCTCATCGAGCAAAGTCAAGCATTTCCTCGCACCATCCACTCCACTGAAATCTGTCGTGACGCCCACCAAGTCATCCGGAGGCATCCTCCTTCCTCCTCTTGATAATTGTGCCTCCTTGGCATGCTCCGACAAGACGGAATTGCCGGTCTCTGCGGGTTCGCATCTAGGCTGTCTCTGCAAGCCCCTCCAAGCTCCCCATGCCCACTCGTCGAAGAAGGTGATGCGCAATCCCCAATGCGCAAAAGGTTCCGATCGCATCAAGGCGTCTAGTACCAAGAGTCTTGCTGGTGCGCCTCCTGCGCTCAGGTACGGCTTGCCATTGGACATGGGCGCTGTTGTGCTTCGAGAACTGAGAGGAAAGAGCGGGACGGAGATGGTGTTGATGTTGGACGCGACTGTGTGCGCAGCGGTGAGTGCATGGACGGACGTGCTGCTTTCAGCGCCATCATTGGTGTGATTGACGGGCAGGCGAGTGCGAAGATGCCTCGAGAGGTGAGGTTTCTGCCATGCCCACTCGAACTTTGAGCGCATACACGCAGAGGGCGGGGAGAAGTGGAGAGAAGCATTCATGAGCCATTCACACACACACACACAGCGCAAATGCATCCCTTCAACACCTCGTACATAGCACGCTCCTTGCCCCATCCCCATCCCTTCAAGCTCACTTGAAGGGCAGCAATCTTGCTTCCGAATCCCCAAACCAAAGCCACAGTCTCCCAAGGTCTTGCAGTGCGCGTCTTCCAAGCGCCTCCTGTCAATTGTCCATTGTGTTGCCTCTTGCGCCTCGCTGGATCGGGAGAGGAGCCAATGTAGGTCTTGGTGGAGTTGGCCGAGGCTAGAGAGCGCAGCAGGTAGACTGCATAGAACGAAGGAGGCGAATGATCCGTCACCGACGACATGTTGCCGCCTGTGTATAGTCGAAGGATGGTGGTGCAGCGTGCGGTCTCGACGGACGATTGCGCTCGCAGACGGGAGCAGAGGTGGGTGGCTGTGCCTCGCTCGGTTGGTGGCGCGCTTGGCTACGAGCTCAATTGCGGGTCGCTGTGTCTTTCTTGCTGGGTTATGAGCAGAAAGGGTGCGCTTGCTTCCGAGCTATGTAGGCAGGGTCAGCCAGCCATTGGCGCGTCAAGACTGCCCATGAGTCACCAGTGGGCTGCATCGGGCAAGCGGTGGTCGTCGAGGCACGACAGTGAGGTGAGGGAGGTTGGAAGCAGTCAGAGTCACGAGTGCGGATGCCGAATGGATGGATGGATGGATGGATGGATGGATGCCCGTCACGTGAATCGCTCACGCATGCAGCAGGCGCGCCATGTTGATTACTCACACTTGGAGATGCCTGCCTGCATGCATGCATACAGTCACAGTACGTGAGCATGAGCATGGGCGGGCGTTCACGTAATGATCATCGCCTTCTCACCCAGCTGCCAGTCATCCTGACCAACACCAGCGCATGGCATCGCATTCACATCCAACACCAGTATGCATTCCGCTTTCCCCACATTTGGCTTCTCCCTCGACGGCGGCCATCAGCCAAGCACCTCCAACCTCGCCTCGACATCGGCCGCACTGCCCGCATCTCAAGCGGCTCTCATCCACGCCCACACTGGCACCTCTGCACCTTGGACATCATCTCAAGATCAAGCAACAGCCGCAGCTCCGTGGCTGGTAGGTCAGCTCGGCCTCGCCAGCGCGCCAGCCGCCTCCCCTTCAGCCAACGTCTCCACCTCTGCAGCGCCAGCCTCTACATCCGCACCCCAGCTTCCCAGGCCCAAGCTCAAGAAACCTCGAAGATCCAAGCATAGCGAGACTGCATCGTTATCCAAGAAGCGCAAAAGCGCATCTCGAGCGGCGGATGATGGTGATGATGCGAACAATGTGGAGGAGGATGATATGATGGATGTGGATATGGATGCGGAAGAGGCGGGACTGGATGCGCAGTCGGTGACGGGGACTCCTTCCAAAGCTGCCAGCAAGCGAAGAGATGGCAACACAACAAAGGGAGGAAGAAAGAAGCAGACGCGCAAGAGCAAGGCAGGTGTGGACGGTGCAGCAGGAGCAGGAGCAGGGTTGTCGTTGCCTTCTGCGTCGGGTGCTGCAAGGATGGGTGGTGCTGCTGGCTCAGCACACGCTTCAGCCTACACTATAGCCGCCGCATTCAGACGGCCCAAAGCCAGCGATGTCCGAGCTCATCGAGAAAGAGAGGCCAGTACGGCTGCTGCAGGAGCTACGAGAGAGGGAGGCACAGCTGGCGATGGCGTACATGCGGGCACGAATGCGACGGCAGCGCAAGAAGATGAAGAGGAGGTGGTGGATGATCTGGAAGAAGAGGAAGATGAGGAGGAGGAAGATGCGGGTTTGGTGCAGGAGGAAGCTCAGAGACAAGCTGAGCTGAGCGAAGCTAGAAAGAGCGTCCTCGGGTGAGTTGATAGGAGGGCCCTGTAGCACCGCAAATGCCTCAGAGGCGTTTGCTAACTGGCGATGGGTTTGTGTACAGCGCGATGATGCAGAACATGACGGCCGAGCAGCTGGATCGATTCGAGGCGTACAGCCGAACAGCCATCAGTCGACCAAACATGAAGCGCGTGAGTTGGAGAATCGGGCTGGAGCTTGTAGCTGCTCATCATAGCTGACTGGCTTCACTCTGTGTACCTGCCCTCTCTCTGATCCAGCTGGTCAATCACATCCTTCAACAATCCGTATCTGACCAGATAGCCACAATTTTTGCAGGAGCAGGCAAGATCTTTGTAGGCGAAATCGTCGAGCTGGCTCGCGATATTGCCAGTAGAGACCAGGAGTGGCTTCAGTTGTCTGAACAGAACCACCAAGCGCAGGGCGCTAATCGTGAACCGGCCACCGCACGATCTACGATGAGACACACGAACGATACTCACGGCAAAGACAACGTGGCATTGGCACCTCATCATCTGAGGGAGGCTGCGCACAGGTACAGAGCCATGAGGGAGCGACCTGGACATTATGCGCCTGCTGGAGGAGCACCTGGACTCGGCAAGCGCCGCACCATCTTCTGAATGCGCGCCATTTGCTCCACTTCGGGCCCTCCACAACCCGACGCCTCTGCCGCGCAGTGAGCACCAATGTCGACATGCCCATGTGCCCAGTGCAAGGCTCCACGAGCTCATGCAGCTGGCGCTGGTTCATGGCTGGACCCCGTGCCGGTGTAGGGGTATTTGGCCCGACGCTCGCGCAGGCTCTGCTGAAGCAACTCAATTTCCTGCTCAGGGCGGCCTTCTCGGCGCATCCTTTGGATTATACGTTGATCCACATCCACCCCATGTAGCTCGCTTTCGTGGTCTTTTCCGGGATCAGGAAAAAACGTGCGCGTCAGCAGCACTCCAAGAGCCAATGCGACGGCATCTGGGCAGCTATGAACCGCCGGCCTGGATACTCACTTGAAAAGCTAGCTTCGTGCTGGGCTTGATACTGAGCTAGACGTAGTCTTCGATGGTGCTCACGGTAAATGGCGTGCCTATTTACCGTCGGTGTGGTCGCTAGCTGCGTCCTTTCCGGGTGCTCCGCAACTGTAGCGTCAGGAACGCGGGATGGCGTGCGCACGCGTACCGCGCCGTACGGGCCGGTCGGTAACGGTCGTCGCAGACGACGAGACGCTGCAGTCGATTCATCGGTCGTCGTCGTGGTCGTTTGCCTCGCCCGAGCACGAGCGCGAGCATATTCCAGCCGTTCTCTCTGCCTCTGCATTCGATTGATTTCTCTAAACGTTGGGCGAGGCGCGTTCGTGTCCGAGTATAGCGGTGAATGGAATCTCGGAGACGCAGAGTCTTGGCGTGCCAATCTACGCTCGGACGTGTCAGATGGATGTGGGCTCGGACTGCGTTCCGGCCTCACGGTCGGGGTCGATAGAAGCGAAGCGTCTGGACTTCGACTTGGACTTCTGAGCGGCTCGTCGATAAGAATCGTGCGCAATGGCTCACTTAGCTCCTCGACGTTGTTAAGGCGCACTCCGACGCAGATGGATTTGGCCACCATGGTGGCCAGCACCAGGAAGCGGAGCAGGTGCACCGTCTTGAGCTGCGTCATTCTACTGTTGGAAGTAGGCTTGACGGATGCGAAGAGCGTTCAAGCCTTTTTGAAAAGTCGAAAGGAAGACAAACGAGTGCTGATGCGAGAAGAAAAGAGGATGTAGATTGGATGCCAACTCTCGTTGCATCTGTTGCCCTTTTCAAGCTTCGACAAGAGGTGGCAAAGGGCGATTGCGCGACCAAAAGCATGCACACTGTAGCGGATGCGCTTGCTTTCACAGGCTGGACGCCCTGGCCGACTCAGATCTCGTTCGATGACAATACACTCGAAGGACGGGCAGGGCGGTAGACATGCAAGACTTGCGGCTTTCAAAGTGGCAAACAGGCGTATGGCGCAGTTTGTGACTCGACGCCGCCATCAGCGCCACGACGGTTTCGCCAGGATGCCCATCGTTGCGTTCGACTACGTAGCCTCGGCACAGTGGTCACAGCTCTGCAAGCTTAGAATGATCGCGCGGAGAGCGATCTGACACACACGCGATTTGTCAAGGTTTAGGGACAGTCAAGAGTCGCAAGAGCTTTGCAGCCATTGTGTCAAAAGGACCCTTGAGTATGGACATTGGCCACCTTCGCGCCTCGTTGCCTAGCCCCGTCGCCACCCTTGCCACCAGTTCGCAGCTGCGCGCCTCTATGCCACCTTGCCACCAGTCCGCATCTGAAGACGGCGACATCGACGGGGCGCTGTCACAGAGTCAGCGCGGCGTCGACGTCTCACGCCCGGCCTGGCGTTTGGTGGTGGATCGCAACATCGGTACCATGGTAATCTGCCACGACAGCACTACCAAATTCCAAGTCGCGCCACCTCAATGTCAAGGGCAGACTCCCAGTAAAGGAGAGAATACGCAGAAAGACATTTTGGTGCATGGGATGACCGGCCAGGCCGGCAAGTGAATGATTTCGATATCGCATGACCATTGCAATTGGAACGCGCTTCATCTGCGTGTCTTCTGCTCGTTCTTGAGCCGTGCTTACATCGCTGCGCCCTATCGGTTCTGCCAAGCTGGTCCTGCCTGCCCTGTGCCGCCCTCGCCGGACTCTCCACAGTGGGCCTGTCGTCAAGGGATGTGCGCCTGCCGACGAAGCTTCTCTCCTCGTGCCACTTCACGGACGCCGAGCGAGGTTCCGAAGGTCGTGCAGGAGAGTCTCGTCCACGCGCCTGATTGCAGGCTGCTCTGGAGATGGAGAGCGCATTCGTCGACGTGTGGCTCGTCGTGCAGGCAAGTCCCTCATGATCTCGTCTATCTGAGAGTAGCGATATCCAGCGCGTCGTAGTTCTCTCACCACCGGATCCTCTACGCAGTCGCGCACAGAAGTGCAGTGCATGAGTAGGGACGACTATTTGGACTTTATGCGCTCCACTGGTCCTGCACAACATTCGAAATTCCTTGTCATTCTTGCACTCACGTAACGGTGGCTCAGCGTACATGTCCTCTCTCATGTACTGATATCGCATTCGCCCGCCTCTAGTTCCCACCGCCTGGACCATGCGAGCTCTGCGACCTGGTCGAACAACAATCTGCGCATTTTGGGCTTGCCTTTGGCGCGCTGCAGCGCGAGTATTGTGATTGTGCCCTACGTCTCCGTCATTAGGGCCAGTGGTGTTTGGGCGACGAGCTGCCACTGCGCCAGCACGTTCCTCCTGATCAAGCTGTCCATCTGGTCGACGCACAGCTTGCTGGAATTGACCGCCCACGCGGGCCTGCGGAGCAGCGGTTGGCGCATCCTGTTCTGGCGGCACGACGACTTGTGGCAGGAATGGATTGGCATGCGCGTCGAGGTGCGCATCTACGCCGCTCGGTGTACCGAGAGGATGGTCGTCGGCTCTCTTGCTGTCGCGCGCGTCTACGGTGACGAAATACGCCTTTTGCAAGGTCAAGGCAACGAGTGCCACTCGTTGAAGCAGGATGTGAGCTCGAGCAACCATTGTATAGATGAAGAAGAAAACGTCTAGGACCAGCCTACTAGTAAAGATATAAAGAAATGGAAAGAAGACGTAAGATAGATGAATCAGGAGGATGGATATTCACTCGAATGCAACATCGGGCCTCACCTTTATACGACAGCGGACACAACCTATGAGTCAAGCACTCAAGACAACCGCTGAAGCTGTCCGCTCTTGCGGCACTCGTCGAGGGCGCAAGAGGGCGTTGGAAAAAACAATTTAAAAGTATCAACTTTCGACCTTGCGTGCGCGCCGCAGCTTCCCCTGCCAAGAGGGTCGTGGTGAGAGCCTGGACGGTTCACGCTGTGCTTGCGTCCGGTCCGACACTCGACACTCGACGCGCACGTCGGCTCGGCACCCACGAGCGCCTCTCATCCCAAGTGGCGGTAGCGGCAAGTGTCGACGCCAAACGCCATCGTTGACTGGGCGACGTTACACAGCCGGGAAGAAGGTGACGGGCATCGCAATGGCTGCGCTCCAACCCTTCTTTGCTGCTGCTCTAACCAGCGGCGCTCACCGTACTGCCCACAGGATTCGCTTGACAGCAACAGAGAGCAAGAAAGCAAAGATGGGTTTGAACTTCACTCTCACCAGTGCCGATGTACAAGATCAAGCGCAGCCAAGTCTGCAGCAAGGTCTAGCCAGATTCAGTCTGGGCGTACACGTAGCGCACGACGCCGTTTTGAGATTATTAGAGGTGGTGTAAGATCTACTTGATCACCTTTGAAGGTCCGAAAAGCTTCGTCATCCACCCCTTTGAGACCGGCGAACCTTGATCCTCAAAACGGCTCAAAATATCAGGACTGCTGCTTCGGCTCCTGTCTGGAGCGCTAGCGCTGACGCTTCGTTTCGGAGATGTGGGCAGCTCCTCGATCTCAGAAATGGAGGCGTAGGGAACATACATTCCATACTTGTTGGTGCGCATACGCTGAAGGCTTGTTCCACCTCCCGAGCTAGATGCGTGCTCGTCCGATAGAGGAACTTCCTCGATCCAGGACTGCGGTGGTGATGGCGGGCGACGGGCCGGCCTGCTCCAGAGGGAACTTGGCTCCGAAAGAACGCGGCTGACCGTAGCGCCACGTCTATCAACATGCAGCCTCGGGCTGCTTGACATGTGGTGGTGCATGTTGCCTGTCTCGCAAAGGGCATCTCAGCTACTTTTCAAATGCATTGAGAGTCCGCACCACTCACTTCTCTGATACTCTTCTATTTGTGCCTGTCGTTGTCTCTGACGTTTAGGAACCGCAACATACTTTTCGTATGCCTCGGCTGCGCCTCCATCGTCGTGCTCCCATACTCCTTGGCTGCCGGACCCAAGCTGGTTTCGGCCGCCAGTGCCATCGTACATGGGCGACGCATTGGTCATGAGGGCCGCGAGCAAGACCATGCATAGAGATCGATTTGCAAGCATGATGCCTCGAAGAGAGTGTGTCGCAGATCGAGGAAAGCAAGCGTATTCTCGAGAGTGAATGCGGAGGTCGAGCCCCACGAACTCAGCAACGCCAGTGCTCTGGAACTCTCAGAGGTTGCTCTAGACGACATGCCTCTCCTTTAAAGCTAGCGAGAACTCACTCGATCGGTCCTGCATCGCATCTCTTGCCACAGGTGGCAAACAGTGGGGGGTGAAACACCATGTTTTGGACTGTCTCTCGTGTATTTATGTCTCTCGTGTATTTAGCAGCTTTGAGCAATCCAGCCCGACCATGCAATGTGTTTGACGTCAACGGTAGTGTTGTCGCCATCGACACGACGGCTTTGCCCTCCCTGAGACCGACACCGACACCGGAAGCGAGCATCGCCGTCTGCTGCATGCTTGCGCCCGCGATGTGGACATCGTGCATTCGTCAGAAAGCTTTTGTGTGTCCGCCGCACTGGTAGGGTGGATGGTCTCAACAAGAGAGGAGTCGAGTCAGACAGATTTTGGCCTTGGTCTTGAGCATTGCTCCAGATCCTCACGAGCATCGCGCTTGACATGCCATGTCGCTGAACAAGCAGTGTCTACATCATGCTCGCATTAACAGCATTAACGGTGGCAAAGCACGAAGGCATGCGTGGGTCAATTCAAGGGAAAAGCACCAAGGACACTGCAGTCATAGTGGATGTTTGCATAGAAATCTTTGCACTGCACCCCATCTCGTGACAAAGCTGGCGTGGCTTCGAGGCTCAGCGCAAACAAAGACTCCTCATTGCCGAACTTTGGGCTGAAGAACGACGACATCGTTTCGCTTTTGTTGGTGCTTCAAGGACGACCGAATAGTTTCTTTACCCATCCGCAGCAGCCTTTTGCTTTTGCTTCATTGACCGTTTCAGAAAGCGGAGGGCTGCCGGAGCCATGATGGCTTGGGCTTGAAGAGGAGCTGCTACGACCGGCAGCGATCCTCGCGTCGAATCGTTGACGAAGCTCTTCCTGGAAGCGCTCATAGCCTGGCGAGCGCGGCGGAGGGACGTATGCAGCCCTCTCCTCCGGAGTGAAATTCCGATCTCGTTGCAGGTGCGTATGGGTCCAAGTGCCGACGGGCTTCTGGCCTGGAGCTAGATCTGGAAAGACGTCTCTTGCACGTTAAGCCACTACCATAGAGCAAGGTCCTGGACGAAGTCGTAAAGGGCTACCGATGCTCACCTTTGTTCTGCTCTTGCCAGTACTCCAATGATCCTGGTTTGTGGGGCAAGGGGCCCAATTGGAAGCCCGGCTGCCTGTGGGCCATGATATCTAAAAGCGAAACAAGGATTCGTCAGTGCAACGTCTTAATGCTCAACAGCAGCTGAATGGTAGTAGCCCGATCACTCGACACTCCAACTCACAGTCGTTTTGTGCAAGCCAGCTCTCTAGCCTCCGCCCTTTGTCGGCATCGTCCAAGGCAGCATATTCGCGCATTGCACGCTCATGCGCATGCTCTGGATCTTTAGCGAAGTGCAGGGCCAAGATCGAGTTGCGCGCCTCGCTAGCAGAGGTCGGGGAGAGCGGACCGGCAAGGCTTTCGCCGCGAATCTGCTTGGCATGCGCCTGGCGTTGTTCCTCGTCAGACCAGTGCTCTCTGTCGCTGTCACTGTCTTGAAGCATGAGGTTGAATTTTGGATCATTCTTGTAATCAGGACTAGGTGGCGAGTTCGGGCGTGTTGGCCATGAATGAACGGGCGAGAGAGGTGGAGTCTTTCCGCTCTCAGATCCTCCCATTGGATGCTCTGCAGGTTGATCACCTACTTGTACTCAGAGTCTCGTTCTGCCTCATGTTTGGAATCGGACTCACCGGCAATGGGGGATAATAGGCGGGGAGTGCTGCCTTCGGTGCTCGTGGTTGAGCCACTAGGAGCGCTCGCAACCATTTGCAAAGTGGCGGCAACCATGAGTAATGCTCGCAACTTGACAGCCATGTCGACGGTGTCGTGTGGATGAAGGGAAACCAGGAATGACGGTGTAGCTGCGAGAGAAAAGCGAGGATGAGCCTCTAGCACAAAGGCAGAGGACAAGATCAGACGAGTTGGCGTCCCCGAGCAGCGCCAAAATGCCTGCTTTTATCACTCAAAGACCGCATTTCGAGTGACATGCTCTGCTTGTGCCATGCCCGGACAGATGACGAGTCGCAGTCGCCTGCGGATCAGTGATCATGATATCGGAAGACCCAAAGTCCACCAATTGCTCTCACGTAGTCTCTTACGCCGAGTGATAAACATCGAGTTCGTCTCGTCAGCGCATCGCTTGGGGCCGAGTCAATGTGGCAAATAGGCAAACTTTCTCTGAACATGCGCTTCGGACATTGACTCGGCCTCTCCTCGGGACCATTGCCTCGAAACGCGAGCGTCCTCGCACTTTGCAAAAAGTCTCACGCCGGTTGCAAGCAAGCTTACCGATTTTTGCCACTTCGTTGGCCGGCAGACCGGGCAGACCGGCGCAACAACACGCCGCTCGAGGTGGAAATGGGATGGCGTGGCGAGAGTGACACGCCTAAAAAAAATATTGCGTCCATGGCAAGCTTGGACTGCATCTATTGCGACGAGTTGGATGCAAAAATCTTTCGCATGTCTTCGACGCGCTCCCACAGGAACTGACTCTCAGCATCTGGCCCGCCGCCGGCCGGTCCGCGAAACTGACCAGAGTGTTCCTCGGGCTGTCGTGCGTCGTCAGGATCCGTAGGGTCCTCTTCTTCATCAGCGATGACTTCCGCTAGAGCTCTGCGCTGCACCGCATCGTTCCAGTGGGCGAATTCTTCCAGGCTGGAAATCAGAGGTTCAAGCGCAGAGACTGGCGTGAAGCCCTCTGCGGCGTTTCTAGATGAAGTCACGCCGCTCGAGCTGAGTCCGCGTAGCAGAGAAGCCAAGTTGGAAGGATGGCCGACGACACTCAAGGAGAGAGCAACGGCGATGCATCCAGACAGGAAGGAAGCTCCGGCAGCCGAAGCATCATCGTGATCCTTTGAGTGTTCAGCTCGCCACTGCTGCTGATCATTTCCCTCGTCTTTCCCAAAGGCAGCGTCGCTCTGCAGAGCGCGGCGCTCGGTCAAGAAAAGCCGGGCGAGCAGCTCGATGGCAGGCTGTTGCCACCTTTTCTCGCATCTGCACATTTCGACGCATTTGCCCCGCTCGCAGGAGAGGCTGATCAGTGTGCCGGCGAGATTGTGACGCATCAACTCTGGTGCCGATTCCAGCAGGGTGATGAGAAGTCCCAGCGCCGCACCAACCAGATCTTGCAGCAAGGCTGCTTCCACCGCCTTTCGACCGTGCGACGGAGGGGTTGAGCTGCAATCTGAGAGATCTTCCGAGTCTGGCGAATTCGATTTACCCATGCTGATCTGTGCACGTTGAGATCTCAAGAAAGCAGGCACGCCGAGTATTAGTCTCAGCAGCGGAATGACGAAACAGGAGGCTGAAGCGACCGCTTTGACCCATTCGCCATGCCCAACATCCCGTTGCTGCTCGCAGAGATGGTTGAGCAGACCCAATAGATGGATGACAGCCTCAGCTGAAGTGACTTCAAGCCGGTGAAGCGATACGTGTGCAGCTTTCGAAGGGCTTTGAGACTGCGAGCGCGTCATCTTCACGGGCGACGCAGGAGCAGCCGTGCTCTGCTTTGTCACCGTCATCTCCAGAAAGCACAACAGCGCAGACAAGTCGCGCACGAGCTCAGCGATTTGCCGTCGTTCATCCGTCGGACAAATTGCTTGCTCGTCGTGCTGCGTCACGCAAACGAGGAGGGAAAGCGCTTGGCAGACGAACGGAATGTCTGGCCGCTGACTGGAAGATTCCTTGGCCGAGAAAATGTTCTGTGGAGAAAAAATTGCAAAGCATGGATGAGGTACGTTCAGGCCGACAAGCAGCGTGGGCTGGCATCCACTCACAACGCCTCTTGAGGCGGCTTGCAGGCGCGTGCGGCATGTTACTGCTTCATGGCGGAGGCAAGCGACGATCATGCGGACAGGGCTTGACCCATTTGTGTCGTTTTCCTCCTCGAGGAGCGCTGCATATGGCACAAAGCCTGGTCGAAGAGGCAAGGCGCAGATGCGAATGATGACGCAGAGAGTGAGATTGCGTAGGCTGAGGCTCATTTCGCGAGACGAGATGATCCTGGAATCTCGTATTCGATCTGCGAGCGCGGTCTGAGGGAATGTAGCGCACAAGACTTAGCGACTGAGCAGCATCCTCGCACTGCCTGTCTGATCCCTCTCACCAAGTCTCCGTTTGGGCCGCGCTGATCGAAGGGATCGGCAGATCCATCTCCTCGTGCTGCGCGGTACAAGCCACGGCGCAGTAGGGCCGTGATCTCTTCGGAGCGGGTAGTCAACAGCGCATTGGCAAGCGCATGGGTCTCGCTGGCTCTAGCAAGGTGCATCAACAAGATGACGTCAGTGATGCTCTCCACCCTCGCGCTGCCGAAGCAGTCCCAGAGCCGGACGATGCCATTGCGAGCCTGATCAGAGTGTGCGAGCAAGCCTCGCAAGAAGCCGTTCTTGGCTGCTGCCTCCTTGGTGCATATCCGCTTGATGATGTCCATGCATGAAGTGCGCCGAAGCGAGAGTGGCTGACTAACGTCCAAGCCTGATAGTAGGTACTCGAGTTCATCGTCAAAGCGCCTCTGCTCACCCGCTGAGCGGAGGTTGGTGACAGAGCGAAGCGCCAGCTGTGCGGAAGCACGCAAACGATACAGATGAGTCGACAGAACCAAATCCTCCCGTGTCCTCGGTATGTGCCGTATGCAGCGCATGCATGCACTCACCGATTTGCGTGGCGCATCTGGACCATCCTCCTCCTCCTCCTCCTCACCCTCTGCAAATTTGGCCTTCAACTCCTTGTATGATGCTCGAACAGCTAGGTTGTGACGAGCAAGAAAGCGTCTGCTGGTGCTCAATGCCTCTGGCTGTGATGAGGTCGCCGATTGCTGACCCGCGTTCCCTGCTCCAGCGTTGAGATCGAGCTCAGCATCCGGAGGCAGAAAGGCGGGGTCGGCCTCCTCCGCCAAGAAGCTCCTCGAAGCCGCATAAGTCTTTCTCGCACCGACTCCCGACACTCCCAGAGCGCGTTTCCTCTGAGCCAGCGCGGACTTGGCGGGCGAAGTGTGCGCAGAGCTGGGACTGGACTGCGAAGCGCTTGGTCGGTTCAAGCATGGAGATGGAGAGCGCGACAGAGCGACGACTGGCTGAGACTCTGCGTTCCTCCACACAGAGTGCGGGTATGCGTTCATGCTTTCATCTTGCGAGCCTTCGGGAGGCAGCGGCTGCGACTCTGTGCTCAGCATCGAGTCTGGACCAGCGTTTGCCGCTTTGCGAGGAGCCATCCTGGACGCGAAAGTCTTGCGTTGCGGTGCAGGGTTAGACGCGCTACCAGCTGTGGCATCCAGCAAAGCATCTAGCTCCACTGCAAAGGCGCCGTCACGTGCTTTGTTCGTTGTGCTAGGACTGGAGAGCACTGCGCCAACATCGCTGTGTGCGCTCGACGAGGGGGCGGGCGTAGGCGAGTGAAGATGCAGCGATGCTGGGTCGATGTGGGCCATTCGCCTCGCAGGGCTGCGCGTATGCGGCTGCGGCATAAGAGTTGCTGTTGGCTGGCGCTGGCGCGACTGGTGGTGCGCCTCGCGCGCATCGCCTACGCTTTCATCTCGTTCTGGCGAGAGCGGGAGAGAAGGCTGCCGCTGCCGCTGCCGTGCTTGATCATATCGTCTTGCTGGGGGGGCCGACTCGGACTGAGAAGCGGCATGAGAGTTGCGCTGCAGCGATGATGATGATGCGTGGCGATGGAGCGGCGGGTGAGAGCGACTGGAGGCAAATGTATGCGAGGAGCGACCAACGGTGTGTCGAGTCAGGCTGGACTCGTTGTACAGCAGATCCAGCTCATGCTTGCTCGAAGCAGCAGCAGCAGCAGCAGCAGCAGAAGAGGCAGGCGCAAGCCTTCGACGTGCAGAGGGCGACGCATGCGCACCACCACCACCACCACCGCCTTGCGCATCCTCCTCCACCTCGTCGCAAGATGTCGCACCATCGTTTGTCTCTGAAACCCCAAGCGACTGCTTATCCACGCTGTTGCTGCCGATGCGACCAGAGCGGGATAGCGTCGGAGTGAGGGGATCGTCGATGCGGGTGGTGGACAATCGAGCCCTCTTCCTTGCGCTTCCTCCGTACTTGGCTCCGCCGGATCTGGGGACGGAGCTAAAGTCCATGGTGGAGCGCGACTCCAGCTGAAGCGTGGAGTGAGCTGATGTGGGTGTGGGTGTGGGTGTGAAGGCAGGCGGGACTTCAGGGAAAAGCGCCGAATCAAGAATGTCACAATCAAATAGTCACAATTAAACAGTCACGAGTCACGAGTCACGAGTCACGAGTCACGAGTCACGCAGGCGTCGAGATGAGATGCGATGTGGCGCGTGCATGCGCGCGTGCGTGTGTTGAAGTCGGTGGGTGCATGCATGGCGCAGTCACGTGGGTCGTCGTTCCATCGCCGCCTTTGCGCGTAAACGACCTCCATGCACGCACACACATCATCAACCAGGCGCGGCGCGGCGCGCTCTTATCGCCCCATCACGTGCTCGTCTCATCCCTCAGCAGCAGCGTCCAATTCAAAATTTGAATTCAAATTCCTGATTTGAATCGAATCGCATCGCATCGAGCCCGGAGCTGAGCCACCGCGGGGTGAGAGGCTGTGTGTGTGTGTGTGTGAGCACCTGTGCGCGCGCGTGCTGACCCCGCTACTCACTCCTTCTGGTCGCATTCGACACTCAAGGACTCTTGACACTCCACATCCATTCATTGCGCATCCTAAGCGCATCTCAATTCAACGCACAGACCTCGTCGTCACACATCCATCCATCCATCCTCGTCGTTGCACGAACAGTTTTGGACCCCGGACCCCAGCCAGCTGGTCGCTCGGGTACCTTCGCTCGAACTCGAACTCGAACTCGAACCCGAACCCACATCACGCGTTCAGCATCGGCCTCTTGACATTATGGATGGCGCCCTTCAGGAGGCCATCAAGAAAGGCAAGGGACTGAAGAGTGAGTGCTGCCCCTGTATCTGTACGCGTCGCCTTCGGCATCCACGTCTCTCTCGCCTCGAACAGCTGCATGCGCTGGTCTGGTCGACTAACCCCCGCTCTTCCTCTTCCTCTTCCTCTTCCTCTTCACACCACGCAGAGGTCCAGACCAATGATCGCTCAGGCCCAAGTGTAGGCGCATCTACGGGAGCGGGCGGTGGCGGTGGCGGTGGCAGTCTAGGCAGGCCACCGGCGCTTGGTAGCGCCCCGCCCGTACCGGGAAGCGCCGGAGCTCCCGCAGGCCCGCCCGGCTTGGGCGGGCTGTTTGCTGGAGGTATGCCCAAGCTCAAACCTTCGGGCGGTCCAGGTGCACCTCCTCCCACACGTCCTGCTGGTGAGCCTGAGCCTGAGCCTGAGCCTGAGCCTGAGCCTGAGCCTGAGCCTGAGCCTGAGCCTCAGCCTCACATGGCAGCTCTCCCTCACTCTCATCCATCTTCACTGACCTCGCACTCGCCTCACGTGTCTTCACATCGTCTTTAGTCCCACCTCCTGCACCTCCAGCCAACAGGCCTGCCCCACCAGCAGCAGCCGCAGCTCCATCCTTTCCCTCTCGCACTCCTCCACGCCCTGGCGGTGCTCCTCCACCTCCCCCTCCTCCTCCACCCACTGCAGCAAATGCTAGCTCGAGACCAGCACCACCATCCCTTCCAGGTCGAGCACCGCCTCCGCCATCTGCCGCTGCGCCTCCACCTCCAGGAAGGCCTGCAGTAGCTGCCCCTTCTGCACCTGCAAGGCTGCCACCGCCGCCCTCACGACCTGCTGCTGCTGCTGCTGCTGCTCCACCGCCTCCTCCACCGCCTCCTGCAGTCGCTGCTGCTCTCTCTACCCCTAGCTTGCCCTCCAGGGGGGTACCACCACCACCTTCTCGACCTGCAGCTGGCGCACCATCTGCACCACCACCACCACCGCCGCCGCCGCCGCCAGGTTCAAGCAGCGTTCCCAATAGATCGGTCCCTCCTCCGCCCGCAAGACCTGCAGCCACACCACCGCGAGCCGTTCCTCCACCCCCATCTCGACATACTGCGGCAGCACCGTCAGCGCCTCCTCCTCCTCCTCCTCCACCTGGACGAAGCGCGCCACCACCCGCTCCTCCCTCCAGACCCAGCGCTGGGCACTCTGCGCCTCCGCCCGCCCCACCTGCTGCTCCACCAGGAAGAGTACCTCCTCCACCAAGAGCCCCTCCAGCCCCAAGTAGAGCGCCCGCCGCTCCACCTTCGGCTCCGCCGCCTCCACCTTCTGCTGCTAGTCCAGCGAGCTCGCGCTTGGGAGCTCCGCCGCCTCCTCCGACATCTGCACCATCAAGGTCACCAATCGCAGCCGCTCGAGCAAGCAACGGAGCAGCAGGCCGAGGTGGGTGCTCGATTTCTCGCGAGACTCCTTGTCGATTCATTGCCTTGCTTGCTGACTCGGACCTGCTCGTCGTTCCTTGCTCCCCTCTGCAGCTCCTTCGCCCCCTTTGCAGTCAGGCAACGTCACGTTTCAGCCTTCTTCTTCCTTTCCCCCTCCCCGGGCTTACGAGCCTCCTTCGGGCAAGCGGTACCCCAGCGGCGCGGCCAAGGGCACCACGCACAACTGGTCTGCTGTGCTGGGCTGATGATGAAAGAATGCAAGAAGACGTAGACTCTCGAATCTTCCATGTCAAAAGATATGGGGCAGCTCCACACAAGGCTGATTGGACCGTTATACGGATGTGACAAAATTCCCCTTTGATCAGGATAGGTGCGAGAGAGAGAGAGAGAGAGGAGACGCATAGAGCAGGCATATGAGGGCAAGTCGAGCGCATCAGATAAAGATTTCGTGCACGACAAATGTGGATCAGAGAGCGAGCATAAAAGGGAGCAAGCAGGCAGATGACGAGGGCGAGCAGATTTTCAGTCAGACTTGTCGGAGGGTGAAGCGCGCTAGGAGCGTGGCTGCTGTGGGCACACCTCGCAGATTGAGCAAACGGAAAAAGGTCCACTGGCCGTTTGGCGCAGAAGTCAGTCTGATCGAGGTGGTCAAGAAGGCCGGGTTGCGAGCAAAGGCGTCTACGGTGAGGTGAGGGGGTTGGAAGAGGTAGGTTTTTGCGCGTAATCAGCGCGAGCGTGACGCTTGATTTCTCTCTCTCTCTCTTTCTCTTTACCCGACACATCCGCATGCATGACAAAGGCCTCGCTTGCTTCTTGCACTCACCGTCGCTCTTGATGAGGATACGCAAAAAGGCCAAGTCGTCATTGTCGAATTGCCATTCGAGCTGCTCGGGAGGATCCCAAATGGGACTGGTGGCAGGTGGCTGCTCCTTGCCAAAGAGCTGCCTGTGCTTGTGAGGTCGATAGTGGCTCGTCTTGCGCTTTGCTGGCGAGCCGGTGGCTTGAGGATGGTATAGACTGCACGTGACGTATGGCTAGATGGGGCAAAGGACAGGAGAAGGGAAGGGAAAGCGGGAAAAGTCAGTGGGGTTCAGAGAGCCAGCGCGAGAGAGAGAGAGAGAGAGAGCGCTTCTGTACATCTATACGCACCTTGATGTCCTTTTCGCGATCATCGGGAACGGGTAGATCGGTCGCTCCGGCAATCTCTAGACGCAGCTGTACTTTGCCGCTAGGCTTTGGCCCGGGTTGTCTGCGGAGATGCGGCGGTTTGAGTACCTGTAGAAGGAAAACAGGAACGGCACACGGTCAGCACCCGTTGCGAATTATACTGTCCCGTACCGATGCGATGCGATGCGGTGCGGTGCGATGCGATGCTCACCCAGCCGTCAGTGTTCGCAAACATGGCTTCGTTGAGTCCAGCTGCGTAGTCAAAGGTCTGCATGTTCAGAGCGCACACTTGCGCTCCGACACCCCAAAAGGGAACAGGATTGAGGTTCGAGGAATCTGGGCCCGAAGCGAGGAGCGTGGCAAGTCAGTCTTGCAAGCGAACCATGTTCAGCCAGCTTTCGCTACTACCTGCTCACTGATCCTGAGTCCTTTGGGATAGATGCGCATCAGGTTGCTAGCGTTGTGCGATACAAGACCATGGCTTGCGCCTTCGGAGATGAGCTTCTTCACTGCTCGCTCTTCCACATTGACCAGTGCATTGTGCGGCGTGCTGGAAGGGTCGGATGTGCCCTGCACCCAGGCATTGCTGGTCGGCTTCATGCTGCGTGGGGGGAGAGGGAGAGATGGCGAGTGTCAGGAGCATCACATCCGATCCGCACTCATCCATCAGCCTTGCGCTCACCTCTGCGCATACACGCCCAATGCAGCGAGCTCTGGCACGATCTTGGACTGCTGAGCTTTCGCCTTGCGCTCATTGTACGCCCGTTCCTCCTCATCGCTGCTGCTGCTGCTCTCCTCTTCCTTGGCGTCCGTAATGGCAGCCACATCTCCCGCATCCGTATGACCGTACCACTCCACCATCACCAGCACCTTGCCACCCAAATCGCCTAGCGTGGCATCGCTCTGCCCGTCTGGCCCGCGCGAGACTGGCTCGGTGACCAGCTTGTCGCGCAGCTCTTCTTTGAGAATGGCAGAGATGCGTTCTTGTCCCGCCGGCCCCGCATGATTCTCCAGACTGATGAACACCGGATTGGGCAGCGGCTCGTTGCGATTCTTTGCCTCGGCAATCTCCGCTTCCACCTGCTCCGCTATAGCTTTGCACACGGATCTAAAGGGGACGTGCGCGGTGAGCGTATAGCCGTGCGTCACTTTGGGCTCGTCTGGACTCTGATCATTATCCCACGCATCGATCTCTACGCAGCGAGCACCAGCTTGCAGATGCGCCTTGTAAGCATTGGCATCGGATTTGCCGTACAGCTGCTTGGAGACGAGGTAGGTGTTGTGAGAGCTGCTGATAAAGTACTCGGTGAGCGGGTGCGTACGATCGACGACGTAAGCCGGTTGGTGCACCTGCGATCGAGCGAGGATACTTTGCACAGCGACCGAGTGCCTCGTCTCCTCTTCGTCTCCTCCAATGTCCGACTCTGCAATCTCCTTTGCGCGATGAGCTAAAAAGGAGCGAAGGGCATGACTGACGCGAAGCTTTTTGCGCTCATCGATGTCTGCTGCGCTGCCGATCACGCGACCTCCACCGGCTAGATGGTCCAGATCGGCCTCTTGACCCAAGTCGTCGCCTCCTTCATCGTCCGATGGCTTGAAAGGATTGAGCTTGGCGAAGCGGTGGGTGGGAATGGATGGCGCTTCGCTGTCCGGCCCGTGCGAGTCGGCGGCGACTGGTGCTGGTGTAGGCGTCATGATGTGTCCGCGCGTTTGCAGGTGGGATGGTGGCGAGGGTGTGTGTTTGTGTGTGTGTGTGGTTGTGTGTAGAGACAAGAGTGCGGCTGACTGATGCGTAGCGTTCATCATCCATGCACTCACGACTCAGACTCACAGACCCATCCATCCATCCATCCACCTGCCCAGCAGAGTCAGTCGCAAGTCACCGAGTGTCGACGCACGATTGTGGAGGCGCTGGCTGCATCACCCATGCGTACAAGTACAAGGTGGGCGGCTGGAAGCAAGGCTGACAAGCTCGCTGCATCCCCTCCCGCATGCAGAAACTCACCAGCAGGGATGGCACTGGACGAGCGTGAGTGTGACTCACGTCTCTGCAAGGATGCATGCTGGTGCGCATGCACCCAAGTCGCGAGCGATGTGGCTTGGCTTGGCTTGGCTTCCGTTTGCGCTTCCGCTTGCGCTTCTCCGCACTCGCCAAGTCGGCATGGCAGGGCATGGCATGCTCAGGCGGACTCGAGGAGGCGTGAATGCGCTCGCTCACTCACACTGTGACTCGCCACGGAAGATCACACAAGCCGACGATGTGAACTTCTTCCATGCACTTGCAACGCTCACATCCAACTATACACCGCTAAGGCATAGCACACTCGGGACTCGTGACTCGTGACTCGATAGCAAGTCATACACTCTACCTCGGTGCACCCTGTCAGCTAGCAGCAGGCACCTCGAAGCTACACCGTCTCACTCACCCTGCGCACTATTCATCATACTTTGCCAGCGCATACACGAATTCGGATGTGAGACGAGGGTGTTGTAACGACATTCTCCGTTCATCATGTATTCTATCCGGCTTGCGGCACAAGGTCAGCTCATACGTGCGCTTCCTCCGCGTCCTTCATGTGGCCGGCCTCGCATCCTTGCTTCTTGACATCCTCGGTCCCCGCTCGCACACTGCGCCGGCTCTTCCATGCCAGCAAGTCTCCTTCCTCCTCTTTGCCCCTACGCATCGCGTACGCCGTGTGTGGTCCATCTCGTCGCCATCCGTCTCGGTGCCAGTCACGTGCGAGTCAAATCATGCGGGGGGCACTCTTCTGCGCTTTGCAGGCCAGTGTTTCGGGATAGGCTTGGCAGAGATGCCACTGCGTCGGCTGTTGACGTTGCGCAAGCTCATCAGCAAGTCCAGCTCTCGTCTTGCCGGTGCCGATGGCGCGTGCGGACAGCATCGCTTCTGCTGGCCAGACTCGGTTGGTGAGTTGCGAGAGTGGGAGTGGAAGTGCATGTACGACCAGCGCGTATGGCGGCAGTACGGCGATCAGGAAGAGCGCGACTCTGCTGACTGCTCTCATTGTGCTCGCGAAAGCTGATGATGTGATGATTTGCTTCAGTCTGCTTATCACTGCGACTTGCTGCGGCACTCGCGGTCAAAGGCGCGTGCGTCAGTCACGAGTGCAGGCTTCTCGCTAAAAGTGCGCGCTGATGGAACGCCGAAACCCAAGACCTGCCTGCATACTCACCTCCGATGGGGTTGCTATAGTGTGAGTCGCGAGTGGCTGATCGGTGATGCAGCAACGCGACGCGCTCGATACGCACCGACTCAAAGCTGCTGCTCTTCTTCGAAATCTGACGTGTTGCTCTCTCAGCACAGTCTTGGTGGTGCACATGTGGGGACGTATGGGCGAAGATGTGTGGGAATGTTTCAGATGGCAAGAAATCATCACTCCATCCACTTCATCCTCCGCTGAGACAGCATCAGGCAGCAAATTTCATACGCACACGGGCACGGCCTGCTCGCCATTGCGCAGGCGTGCGTTGCCACATCGAAGAACTTTGCACGGCTCGTTCGGTACCGCTACCGGTGCTGCAGTGCTCGTCGCCGGTCGACTCGCCAGTTGCAACTGGCCAAGCAAATGTATGGGCGTCATCACGTCAAAGCGGCGCGTCAGGGCAACGAAGTCGTAGATCTCTGAGACAAAGTGCCTCACTTGCCGTACATCTCCTCTCCTCCTCGCCGCGCTTCTGCGCCACATCTCTTGAACCGCCGCGACGATAGGGGCTGCGCCGCAAATAGCGTACTCGTAGCAGCAGACACTCGGCGCCCTTTCCCTCCAGGGCCAAGTGCGGGGCCGTCGGTGGAGTGATGACTGCCCCGAAATCACAATCACCTGGCGAGTCATACGACGCAGCCGTGGACATTGCAGAGAGCCGCAGAGCGAGATTCAGGCGCAGCTCATCGCGTCACGCACAGCTCCGCTCACCGTACGAGCCCGCGGCTCCAAGCTCTCGGAAACTTTGACGTGCCTCGCGTTTCTTTTCATTCACAACTTACCCCACAGTACCTCACCGGCCAGACGGAGCGGGAACTGTCGGGTGGGGCGGGTGTAGTCTCGAATCTGTCTGCTCCTCGCAGTGTTTCCTTGCAGCCACTCTCTCGACGAAAAGAGGGCCTTTGTTACTCTTGCTGCTCACGAACGCTCTCAGTGGTCATGCAAAAGTGTTCCATCCGGCACCGCATCAACACGAGGAACTCCATGGTCGAAAGTTCTCCAACGCCACTCGCAACGCCTCGTCGCGCCACTCACTAACGGCTAGTGCTGTTGATTTCGCTACCGGTTCGTCACTTCAAGCTTGCAGTGGCACGTCATGCACTGTTGTGGCAGCATGAGCCCATTCAAGCAATGTTTGCTAGGCAGGGGCATGCGACTTGACACAAGGCAGATAGAACAGGCAATGCTGTTAAATAGGCCAGAAAATGTCAGAGCAGATTCACGACCTCTCTTTCCATATTTTTGCTTCTCTACCCATTCGCGACACAAGTCTGGCACTTGCAACTTTCCATTTCGACTGCAACGACCATACTCCTCCAGTTCACCACTTACGCACTACCAAAATGCGTGGGCCATTCATCGCTTTGTGTTTGATCGCTTCAATTTCTTCGCGCTCAGTGCAAGGTCAGCCAATTGCTGGAAATGAGCTGCGCGCGCGCGCTCCGCCGGATCCCACCCAGTCGGAAAAGACCTCTGCTTCGGGAACGAGTTGGGATCGTCCGGCCAAAATTCAAAAGGTTTCTGCGCCGCACGGACAGGACGTCCAGGACGTACAGCGCAAGACCGACCGACGTGAGTCAGCTTTGATGATTTGAGGTGTGTGGGATGACCTAGTGACGCGTTTATCGGTCCCGCCAACTCGCGGTCAGGCTTGGCTCGTGCAAAAGCTCGCGAGGCTGCTGCTGTGCACTGGAGCTACCTCGACGATGTGGATAGGGCGAGCACCTCCTTGACTGCCACAACCCCCGTTCGAACATGGAATAAATCACCTGTGGGAGCGAGTAGCAGTCCGCTCAGGTCTAATGCGAGATGGCAACACACGATTCGACAGTTCAAGACGACGCCCCATTTGGCTCTGCGCAAGTCCGTCTCCCCATCTAGATCGAGCTTTCTGAGCGGCTACAGCGCATCAGGCTCCGAAGCAGGCAAACCTCGCAATAAAGGTACAGCTACGACTTCAACTTCTTCCACGTCCACCTCGACGAGCGCGGGGGAGCTTGCGCATGATGCGGAGAGCGCATTGAAGAAAGGAATGGGCCACGTGTTGATGTGAAGCGGGAAAAGATTCCGAAAGTGCCTTGTTCGGAAAATAGTCCGGAGCAGGGAGCAGGGCGCATGGAAGGGAGGGAGAAACGGAATGTGGTCAGAGATTTTTCAATCTGGACAAGACGCTACCCGGGTGGAGCAAGATGCGATTGCGGCGTCAAATGAAATCTACTCGTTTGATGTTCGTTGTGGGACTCGGTCGAGCGTGCCTGAATTCGAAGAAACGGCGCTGAGATGTAGAGAGCCCGGGAAGTCAAATGCGGGGCTTCGACAAGCTATTAACGTCATCAGCGCACAGCCGCAAACCCCGGAGTCTCGGCTTACGAGTCCCTCGCTGCATCAACGTCGTCCTTGCTAAAAGACTGAGCGAATCTTCGGCAACGGCTCGGGCAGTCGAAGAACTAATTTGATGCTGTCTTCGCATTTGCAGCCCTTGTGCCAGTCCAAAGAAGCGGCGGAGAGTGAGATCGTTCTTGAATGGCGTTTCATTGACTTTGTTTGTCAGGAACAAAGCAGACCTTACCATCGGAGAGGGCGGCCCGCTCGCCTGAGTGACCACTCACCGCTCAATTGCCACTTGGCAGCGGCCCGCCGTATTTCCGATTCGTGGTTCTGGACCCTCTTGATCTGTCTCTAGCTCTTGACAAGGTCAGTACAACTTTCGACTGACGATCTTTGTCCTCTTCCGCGCCGAGGGCAGGTCGAGCGACGACCGGGTGCAAGGACCGGAGCGGTCCGTGTGTGGGACCGCCAGTCAGCGTCGCTTGCCAAGAATGATGAGGTCGGCTATTGGTTATTGTCGTCGTAGCTTTCGTACGCAGGTCAAATTGTGCATCAGCCATCTGCAGTCCTCAAACGGTCGCAGCAGTACCGAGGGCGTCAATCAATGTATCGCACTCTCGGCGTGGAGAAGCGCAAAAAATCGACTCCCTGTGCCGCGACGAGAGTGACTGCAAGACAAGTGAGACGAAGGAAACGTGTCGCGCACTCTCATCTGCTGAAAAGGTATAAAAGTAATGTGAGTAGCATCCCTGACGAAGCCTTCTCTCCCAAACTCTAAAAAGTGCCAATTCTCCTTTTCCTCGCCATCATCCCACGAAAAAGCGCCGTGCAATACAACATGCGGTTCCTCGTACTCTGCACCTTCGCCGCCTTGCTCCTCTGCTTGGCGTCGATTGCGATGGCCGGAGAGGTCAAGTGTCCTACCCCAAGCCCTAAGGGCAAGTGGATATGTAAGCCGTCGCGGTCGCTTTCCTCGACGCTGAAATTTGCTGACAAGTGGCTCATTGTGCTTATAACAGGGCTCGCAGGTCAGGGAAGCTCGACTATCGCTGAGGCCATCGCTGCGTGGAGCTACTGGTGCGGGCAGGTAGGTGGCGAAGCGGATGTTCACGTCAGCTGGGGCAGCCGCACTTACCTCAATTGCGTGGTGAAATCTGGGCGAGTTCTTCTGTCGAGCTCCGAGAGCCAATGGCCGTGCCCACTGACCATGCCTCTCTCAACCACTTCAGTGAGACCATCACCAAAGATCTCAGCTGCGACTGCATCAAGCAGTGCATCGCTATCTCAGGACCCAACGAGTGGGACTTCCGAAGGACTTGGTGATGCCACTGCAATCATCCCGCGCTGCAAGCCACCCAACTATCGAAGAAGCTCGACTCTACATCAACGCCATGACAATGTAGCCTTTTCGAGGCCTCATGGACAAGGAGCGAAAAATCTTGGGGTGAAAATCACGTCTGACCCTCACTGCATGTCGTTGCGAAACCTCTCGTTGCGTGTTGCGTTAGTCGTTGTGGCGCTTGCTTCATGCGGTAGATCGCGCTGTAGGCTGTCTGTAGCAGTATTGTTCATGACCACGGTGTTTGCGTCTCTGTTGGCAAAGACAGCTTCAACGAGGGTGATGGTCGTGCAATACCGAGTTCGTGGGTGAAGGCAGCTACTTTGGCTGTATGTGTGCGGCGCCTGGAGGCCCCGCGCGCGCTACATCGATGTCGACGCACGGCCATCCAAGATCTCACGCGAGGTATCCACGGCTTACGCTGACACCTCAAAAACGCTTCGTGTCGGAGATCCGTGATCTGCCATACGCGCTACCGTTCCCGTATGGTTGAGTCTCAAAGTGAAGCCTCCGGTACCGTGCGTGCGGGCTAACTCCTGCATGAGATGCGGGGACCGGAGATCTTGCTTGCAGCTAACGCGTGGAAGCTAGACCGCGCCAGTCCGCGCCCGCACGGTGCAGGTCAAGCTAAAGAGACGTCTTAGAAGAGGATTTCAAGCAAGATGGGACCGCCCTGGCTTTCATCGGAGTTGTCAGTCGGTGCAAGGGGAAGATCATGGTATTAAGGGTGGAGAGGGGACGCGTCGCTAAGGTACATGTATATATAGAGGCGCGCCCGCGCGCCATGACAGGGGTAGCGGAAGCAATTCTTCGTCAGTCGTGGTATGCAAAGGTGATTGCCGCCCATTTAGTGCCTCCAGCACGGTGCAAGTTGGCGTGGTGTTCACCAATAAATGCTTGGGCCGCCGAAGCAAAATTGTTGGTCGACCGCGTCGCGGGTGGTCTCATCGCAACGCTTTTGTAAATGGAGCTTGAAAAGGAGCGCTGCAGTCAGGGTTAAGGTTACAAGGGGGTCCCAAATAGGATTTTTGAAGTTTGTGTTGTAGGCATCTAGAGAGGGCTGGGACTCAGCAGTGATGACCAGAGACGTCACCAGTGCAAATAAAGCTCTGTGCTCAACAAACAAAAGAGCAGGCAACAAGCAGTTGGTGAGCAGAACAGCACAAGCATACTCAGCTAGCATACAAGGAGGATAGACAGTAACAAGAGTGACTGCTGGGCAAGGAGGATAGACAGTAACAAGAGTGACTGCTGGGCAATGGCTGTCAATGCCAACAGAGGCAAGACTGAGGGGGTCAGTGCATAGGAGAGAGATGGGCTGATGCGCATTGGACTGGGCAAGCAGGACAGCATATAATGGAGGCAAGGGGGGGCGCATGCAAATAAAGATCAGTGCTCTATACATATGTCCCGAGACTTTTACGACGCAAAGCGGATGCGCAGCCAGAATTCCTGCCAAAAAGACGCGTTGGACGTCCATGGAGATGGCCAGAGCTACTTTTACGCCGTAAAAGCGCCCAGACAAAACGCGCGCCATATGCGGGCCATACGCTGTCGTACGTGTGTGCCATATGCGCGCTTAAGGCTCTGACTGTGAGATCAAATTTGATCCCACACACGCAGCCAAAGCGCAGCCAAAGCCCTTGCCAGAAAGATATGCCAGACGTCCATTGAGATGGCCGGAGCTAATCTTACGCCATAAAAGGGCACAGACAGATGCGCGCCATATGCTCCTATATGCGCGCCATACGCATGCCCCATAGCGGGTGCCATACGCGCGCGCCATGAGATTTTACGCCGTAAAGCCAAAAAGGTGCATCCGGCATCCACGGATCCACAGACTTTCACTTTTACGCCGTGAAAGCGCACAGACAAAATGTGCGCCCATGCACTCTTTGCCGTCAGAGAGCTGGCTGTGAGATCAAATTTGATCACCCAAGCATGCACAGCAGGCTGGCAGGTGTCAGGACCCACGACGATCGCGCTCCGCCCACACGTGACGCGATCCCGCACGCTCCGCCCAGCACGTGATCGTTCCGTGCGTGCTTGCCTGGATCGCTCGGATTGCGCGCAAAGTAGGCGAAGCGCGCGATCAAGGCGACGAGATGTTCCTTTAGTTACACCGTCGCAAATACTATCTATACTCGTTTCATCTGATCGCCTGAGTCCAGAGCCCTGCTCCTCAGTCAATCGCCTGACAGTCTAGTGTATATTGCGTACCACCGCACACCTCTCAAGTTGTTGCCGCTTGCTACCGGCGTAGCCAACCTCTCACGTGACCCTCATAGTCGAGCATCTCCTCGAGTCTCACATTATTTGCGACCTCCGTGAAACCGGTTCACCGAACGGCAACATGGCAGACAGCGCAAGCCAGACCTCCAGCACGCGGCATGTTCCCAGATGCCGCGGCAATCACAGAGCACCGTTGGTGCACTCTGACAAAGCGGCCAGCTCGTCGTCCACACCAACCGGAGGTCTACAATCGGCGACCATGCCACCCACTGGGGCAAGAGCCCCGTCAAGCTCTTTGGAGCAGTCAACCGCCGCCGCGGTCAAAGCACGTTCTCGTGCCACCCCTGCGGCATCAGTTTCCAGTCCTCTTTCCACGCAGGACGTGCTCCTTGAGCTTCTGCGTGAAATGAAAGCCAATTGCGAGCACGAAGACTCGCAAGCTGCGACCCTAGGGCGCATTGAGGAGGTCTTGAGCCGCCCATTTGTGGCTGGACGCTCGCTCACAGAGCCGCGCCTTTTGCCTCAACCGCCTCCTTTG